TGTTGATATAATGATATATTGAAGTGGATACGAGAGAAGAAAAGTTCAAGCAGGAGGTAAATTGTTGAGATTCTGTTGTTACTGCCAAATACATGTATTAATCAATGTACTGTGATACATTATTCGATTGATTTGATGAATATTGTATTGTAACGATTACTTTGCATCAAGAAGGTTACATACATACTGTACCATTATTTTACAGTGAATTACGAGACGAATTTATTTTTTCTCTTGGTAATGTCTTGGGTTTTTTTGTTTTCTATTCTTGATATTGTTCCTTCACATCTTTTAGTATCGTAAAATAATGCAATTAGGTGATCTTACTACACGATCATTATCGCGCATCGTGTAGAAGGAAAGGAAAAATCATCAATCGCACAAGAAATAGATCTTCAGTACGCAATTTTGTGACTTTGTGAGGGAAACAAAGAACTCTTTTTGTACATTTGTACTTTTTTATTGAATTTTGTGCGAAGAGGATTGTGAAATTCAAAGAGAAATGGGACAAATATTTGTGACCCTAAGAAGCTAGGCAGTTTGTAATTCGATCTACGTGACACGTCAAGGAACGTTAATACATGTACGTGTAAATTTCATGTAATGGTAGTCTTTAAAATGTATGAAAGAAACGTTACGTGTATTATCTTTATTATAAATACATGTACTGTAGCTAGTCGATCGCAAACACGCGTGCATAAATCACAAACAAAATTGAATGTTGAAAGTGAATCAAATTTAACACAAGCGCATTCATAAATGTACGAAATTTATGCATAATTCAAATTTGGAAAACAACTTTAACGTTTAAATTGTTTATCTACACTATTCTAAAAATGGTGGATATTGTTTTTTATGTGTGATAATATCGATATATGAGCAAAATGAACTAAATTTGTGTCGACTCGAAAATCATCAATTTTCGAGATTAAAATAAAATGCAAGTAGAAAAATTACATGTTAAGTTCTAGAAAAAGTAAAAATAAAGTACATTTCAAGTAAAAATATACATGTAATTAAACCTATATATAAAATGTCACAATGCCCAAAATTATTTACAAAAAAGTCCATTTGTTCAAAGTTCATGACAAATATCCTATATGCTACCTAGTGATGTACATTCCGATTCAATATGCGCACACTATACGCATAATACACATCAAAATGTTCTGTGTTTCCATCTCTAATATACCCCAAAAGCAGTCTCGACTAAATCATCAAAGATGTTGAATTCATCAATTTAGATGTACAATGTTTAATCTGATTTGTTTCACTTGTCTATGAGATCGTGAGGTTAATGCGTCCGACTGTACAACGCTCTATTATTTGCGTTTATTTTGATGCATAACATTGTTGATTTATAATTTTAATCCATCAAAATAAAGTACAGAATGAAAGCAATGAGTTTTAAAGATGAAATAATAAATCAAAGCAACGAATAAGAAAGATAATGAATATTTATATTGGGATATGAAAGCATGATTTTCAAATACACAAAAAAAGTGACGGATCATGTGATAAAAAGTTATTTGAGAAACTTTCAAGTTGATGTGCATGTACTGTACATGTATATCGATTTACATATCGCTATTATGCTATTATCGGACATATCAAGTTCTTGCTCATTAATATTATGCTCTGTTTCTATCTTTCTACATCACTTTCGTCACTTTCATTACCCATATAATATTGATTTATATTTCTCACAGTGATGCAACTATACATATATGTACTAAGTGTTTGACTATCACTCATTCTTTTTTGCAAATAGATGATGATGAAAAACTTTGTTACACTATTATTTCGTAACGCGAATGATAGAATAACAGAAGACAGGTAAAGACGTGCGAAGGAGATTATTAGCACTAGGTCATCAATGTGGTCGGAATCGAGGCTTAGTATTATCGGAATCGAACAGTAAGGTACATGTAAAATAGAAATTGTTGTATGATTTTATAGTGAACTTCATGATCATGAATAATTGAAGGTGCCGTTATGAATCTTATTGTTTTAACCAAATAGCAAAGATCTAGGACAGCTTTTTTTTCTTTGTTGATACAATGATCCTTACAGGTAAAAATTTTAATTTTATTACCTCTATGCGTTTAAACTCATATATACATTACCAACTGGTCTGGTAAGAAATCCTGGCAAAAACAATCACCCGAAATTATCACGATTTCGTCGTTCATTCGAGATTTCATCCATCCGGAATGCCGTTCTTTAGGGATTTCGATTTTTGAACGTTACCGGACCGGATATATTTATTATACGGTATGAATGCGCATGATATTTTCGTAAATCTAACTACGGATCGGGAAGCGGATCCTCCGACTTTAATACACGACGTGCGCGACTTAATCTATTATTAATATTTATTTTTTAGTTCATATATCCGCATAGTGAAAGAACTTATCGATGTCTCTGATCAGTGAAATTCAATCCGTGAGCATTGTTAAGATCTTGATCTCGCCATTCGCGTCTCCCTCGGTTCCAGCTTTTAGATCACGTAAATATGCTGCGGAAGAAGTAGACAATGCTATGACGGATTCCCTTCGTGACAGGAAGATTACCATGTAGCAAGAGACGAGGGGAGAATACTACGTTCTGTCATGGACTTCTTGTACTATGATTTGAGTTGGGGGGAAGCACAGTTTCCATCGAAATCTCCAAGAATGATTAAACAACAAAAAGAGTTTGGCTCGCCGTGTTTGTCTCAATGAAAATCATTGATAATATTGAAATTTATTGCGACCATCGGAAAAACGCCAAAACTTTTTCGGTGAAGATGAAATGGACACCAGCTTAATTCTGTTAATTTTTGATATGTACCCTTGCGTCAATCTCGGCGATGTCATCTCCTCCGAATTTGAAGAGCTGGGTCTGCATTAGGTCAATGTGATAACGCAATCTTTTTAATCTTCGCTTTTGGCGCGCGTTTCGCAATCACCCAATGCCGGTCGGGAGACAGGGTTTCACAACGCCGTTCCAACTCCTTTTTAAACGACGACAATTGTCGTTTCGCTTCTGGTGGCATTTCGGGATATTAACGCGCCAAGATGGAAATAACGCATCAGTTTCTCATAATATCCTTGAATGAATTACTCACGGACGAAGTTCACGAAGCAATCTATCAACACATTCTTTGATGTTCAGTATTATGCGTGGTGTTTGAACTAGTAAAGCCAAAATGCTCTATGCATATATTATTAATCGGATCTTCTCCATTCGAGAAATACATGTGGTGATTCTATTCGAGACATTCTGTAGTTTATCATTTTGCGTGTTTAGTTTATCCATTTTGATCGAAAATGCCGGCGTACGTTTCTCATAACAATTGGCTCTTCCATTCTTACCCAGCAACAGAAAGCGACCCACAATTGTTTAGATTTTTAGTTTTGTTGCTTCAGCCACACCTAATTGACTAAATTAGCTCATTTATTGAATTATAAGAAATTTTTAGTAAATTCTCATTATATAATAGAGAAAATATAATTAAAATTTTTTATATGGCATTTTTATAGAACTTTAATTAGTAAATTTCATAATAGAATTTTTTTAATTGTTTTTTAAAATTAATTTTTTTAACTTAAAAATTAATTAAAAAATATAAAGCTAATATTATTTAATAAAAGATCTTAAATAAATTTTTTTAATAAATATTAATATATATACAGTGATGACCAAAAGTAATGACTTAGGGACTAAATTTACTAATAAAACATAGTGAAAATTGAAATTTTCTCTCTATATTAAAATTTATAATTTTAATAAAAAATAA